ATGGGATTTATTGAGATATCCAATCAAAGCTTTGGGGCTCTTGAGATTTGAACAGTGGATTCTAAAGTTAATTAGCTACAAACAAAGACTAATAGATAGAAAATTTATAATGATTCACCAGTTCGGTAGCTTGGTTAATCCACTCTAATAAAGTCTTTTACTCTTGAGGGAGTTTTCTATTAATTGGGGGAGGGGGGAGGCAAGGGTTATAGAATTACATAAAGTTAATGGCACGGATGTTTGATTGATTACAATGTGAGGGGTTTGATCCCTATTTATAGTATATAGTTGCCTTGCATAATTGTCTTGCGTGATCTCTGCGATCTTTCCGTAACCAATGTGATCCTTGCATGGTCAATGTGATTCCCTTGGGACTATTACGACCCATGTGCAAGAATATTTGGCCATTAGAGGTTATATTCTCTAGGCATGACATGATTTTTTGAAAGGTGTAAACTATTGATGTCATCATGTACACGAGAGTCCCATTTGTGATTATTCTCGATCTGCACACCCCGAGCTAATGATCATAAGTTGAGAGGTCTGAGCTTAGTTGTTCGAGCTAAGAGGTCCGACCTTAATCTTAACTAATTTTTGGTATTATCCATAATAATATAGGAGACAAAATAGCACACTCATAATTGAAAGGGACAAAATGTAATTAACCCCACACAAACTGGGCAGTTGGTAGTCCCTCCAATGTTAAGAAACCGCACGGGAACACCTCCCTTTGAAATCTAATCCTTCCAAGTTCCAACCTTAACTGTTTTTGTTATTAAATTTTAAAGTCACTTGTTATTAGACTTTAAAATCGCTAGTTGAAACTTAGTTGCCCCTCACCCAAAAAATATCCAATTCTCTCCTGAACTTGAAGCAACAAGGAAATGTTTCAATTTCAACAGAAAACGGATGGTCAGGAATGAGAGCCTTACTGCTCACTGTTGGCTCCTCCTCCATAGTATTCCCTCCAAACTCAACCCCTACCCCTCCCCACCACCACTCAACCAAGCCCAAATCCAAACCCTCACTTCCCTCTAAACAATCTCCTTCACGACCACCACCACCATCATCACCGTCGTCCACCGCTTCTCCGCCGCCTCTTGTTTCCGCAGTCCGATGGGACTCGACGACTTCCCGCCGTCGAAACCGCCTCAGGTACTACGCCGACGTCGGCTCCAAGCTCGCGGAAGACGGAAGGTTGGAAGATTTTCTAATGGTTGCCGAGAGTGTTGTGGATTCAGGATTGAAACCTTCTCAGTTCGTTGCTTTATTGAATTCTAAGCTTGTATATAAAGGGATTACGCGGCGGCTTAAGGAAGAGAAGCTTCGGAGTGTAGTTGAGGTTTTGAGTGGTCTCAAGAAGCTTGGAATTAGTCCGTTGGAGTTGTTCGATGGGTCTGCAGAGGAAGCACTTGCGCAAGAGTGTCGCCGTATTATGAAATGCGGTGAACTGGAGGAATTTATCAGTTTGATGGAATTACTTGCAGGTTATTTTTCAAATTCCATTTTGTGATTTCCACACACACACACACACATATCAACTACTAAATTTCTTTTATGTCTATTGATTTAANTTTCAAATTCCATTTTGTGATTTCCACACACACACACACACACATATCAACTACTAAATTTCTTTTATGTCTATTGATTTAACTAATTTTGCACAAATTATTGAAACCCTATAAACTATAATTGCTAATAGTGATTAAATACTCCATTGCATTGTGGTTAGTCNAACTAATTTTGCACAAATTATTGAAACCCTATAAACTATAATTGCTAATAGTGATTAAATACTCCATTGCATTGTGGTTAGTCTTAGGGCCACAAGGCCTACTCGAAACTTGACAACTCCTTTACCGTTCGACTAGGATGGATTTATCCTTCATAAATTCTTTAGTCCCATGGATGGCCTGCTTAAGGGTTGTACTGGAGAGGCATTAGTTGAGGTGCATGTCAGGTGGTATGGACACCCTGATCGCAATACAAAAAGACAAAAAATTAATTTATTGCCATAGGAAAGCTACTTTCTTGATCTGTCAACATTTTACACTGTTCCAAAGATTTTAAAAAATAATGTCTTTTTAAGTCATGATTGGCTTTGCATAATATATGTGTTATTCTTTCAGGGTGTCAATTCTCAATCAAAGAGTTAGTGGAGCCACCTGAGATAATAAAAATTTGTGTCAAGGAATGGAGCCCAAATGTGGCTGTTCGGTATGTATCATTTAATTTGTTGTGAAATGGTCTTGAATATTGAAGCTGTAGATAACACTGGAGAGAATTTGTTAGACATGGTACAAAATTCCTGCAAAGAAGTTTTTGCTTCTCTCGTAGGTCCGACCAAAAATATCTAATGATCATTTCTATACAAATGAAAACACTATGATAACATTGCTACCTTTTTTTTTGCTAATTCTGTTATTTGTTTTCGTTTCTAGGTAGAAGATATATGCACTTAAATTTTAATTTTGCATTCACTTCCCTCTGCTGGTTTCATATGCACTTCTTCCTCTTTTTTCTTGGTTTTCGATAATCAACACTTCCATTCTTCGTCATCATGCTATTTACTTGTCTATGTTCATCATCATACCATAATTCTCATTTACACCCTGAAGTATGCAATTCAGAAATTGAATCTGCAAGCTTGTTAATGCTTTAGTTTAGGCATTTTGCAGGTATGCAAGAATTTTTCCCAATCCACAGATCTTGTTTTGTACGATGATTCTTGAATTTGGAAAGACAGGAGACTTGGCATCCGCTCTGGCTGTCTTTAAAGCATCCCAACAGAAGCAGGGTTATCCTAATATGTATGCCTATCGCACCATGATAGATGTTTGTGGTCGTTGTGGTGACTACCTGAAATCCAGATCCATTTATGAGGTACTTGCTTTAGGCACTACTTTATGATAACCTAGCTGATTTGTGAATGTTTCCTATGTTTAGGATTTCTGATGCACAATAATTGATCCTGAAATCAGGCATTAAATGTTGATTAGGGTTGCATAGTTTTCTCCCAAGAACTAGTCGCACTATGTGTCTGTGTTTTCCAATTCGTCTTCCCCCNTAGGGTTGCATAGTTTTCTCCCAAGAACTAGTCGCACTATGTGTCTGTGTTTTCCAATTCGTCTTCCCCCCATCAATTGAAGTGGGGCACCAAATATTGGCTTGGAGTTCTAATGATGGTAACTAAAAGAATGACGGAAACATGGACATCTTTGGGCCCATTATTTCACATAGAGGCATAAGATGACGACAAAGTTTATCACTTTAGGTTTAGACTGCCCGTTAATATGGAGTCTTTAACCATTAAAAGCTCTGATAACATATCAATACCACACTCGAGTACATAATTCTGTATATAAAAATATTCTAAAATGTGGAACACGAAATTTTGAACAACTTTTGTAGTTTTTTTTTTGTGGTAAATGATAGACCAGGCTTGCTNTTTCAATACCACACTTGAGTACATAATTCTGTATATAAAAATATTCTAAAATGTGGAACACGAAATTTTGAACAACTTTTGTAGTTTTTTTTTTTTGTGGTAAATAATAGACCAGGCTTGCTTTTATGGCCATTAAGATTTAAGAACTTCATCACCAAACTAGGTGGATGTTGAACCCTATGTTAATCGAGAAGTACCTTAGGTGGTGTGCATCCATTTTGCAAGTTTTGACTTTTAAGTTAAGGTGTATTTTTCTTTGGAGATATCTGCTTTAGAGCACTTGGCCTTCAGATTCATTTACTTTCTGACAGTGGACGTTTTATAGTTCTTGATGTTCTGGAATGCACAGTAGCACATTGTTTTGGGTCTCTCCTGGCTGTTTATATGCTGACATTACATTTGAATTTTGCTGACAGGAGTTACTTGTTCAGAAGGTCACCCCGAATATATATGTTTTCAACAGTCTCATGAATGCAAATGCCCATGATTTGAGCTACACACTGGATATTTACAAGCATATGCAAGTAATTTTCTCGCGCTCTCTGAAAAAATGAATAAAACACACATCACACTGGATGTTTTGTTTTCCACATGGCTTGTAAATCACTGGTGGTTTTTGCGTTCAGGAAGCTGTTAAATGAAAATTTCTTTGTGCATTTCTGATCATTTGTATAATGAAGATGTTGGATTTTTCTTATGTTTCTTTTTTGGGTTGGGTTGGAGTGGGGGGTTGTTCTTTCCTCTCTGGTGTTGTCTTCAGTTTGAGTGAGTGATGAAACATTGAGCCACTTTAATTGGTTGAAATCCCATCATGTTCCTTTGCCATTATTTCCCCATGAAATTTGAAGCAAAAAATGCAATTGATCTACAAGAATGACTTTCTCCAAGCACATTAATTTAAGTCATCTTGTGTTTCTTTTTTTCTAGTAACTAAAATATATGAAAGTGCCATCCTGTATTCTTATCAACAAATACTTTTTCTTACACTTCATTTTTCATATCTAGACTCTAGGTGTCGCAGCTGATATGGCATCTTACAATATCCTTTTGAAGTCATGTCGTCTTGCTGCAAGAGTTGATTTGGCCAAAGACATTTATAGGGAGGTGCAAAGTTTGGAATCAACAGGAGCATTAAAACTGGATGTTTTCACTTACAGCACGATAATTAAGGTATTATCTCACTGTAGTACATGATCAATCTCATGCGTCCATCTCGTGTTTACTAATTTGCACGCTGCCTTGCTTCTACATATTTTATTCCTGGAGATCCATTAAGTGAGAATTACTCTCTTGGCATCCTCATAGTTTCCGCCTCAAATTTTCAGGTCTTTGCAGATGCAAAATTGTGGCAAATGGCACTGCAAATCAAAGAAGATATGCTATCAGCTGGTGTTATCCCCAATACTATAGCGTGGTCATCATTGATCAGTGCATGTGCTAGTGCAGGTCTCCTAGAGAAAGCAATTCAATTATTTGAAGAGATGCTCCTTGCTGGTTGTGAACCTAATTCACAGTGTTGCAACATCATTCTTCATGCCTGTGTTGAGGCTTGCCAGTATGATAGGGCATTTCGTCTTTTCTGGTCCTGGAAGAGAAGTGGATTGCACAAGGCTTTTTTTGAAGATTACCAGGGGAAGGCAGACAGCAATGGACGTGTTGAGCATGCACAGGACAATTATACTCTTAGTATACCAAAACGCACATCTGATTCTCACCATTTAAGGTTTAAGGTTCCCTTTACACCAACAACTTCGACTTATAATATTTTGATGAAGGCCTGTGGTAGTGACTACTACCATGCAAAAACTTTAATGGATGAGATGAAGACAGTTGGCCTTTCTCCTAATCTTATTAGCTGGTCAATCTTGATTGATGTTTGTGGAGGCTCAGGGAATGTACAGGGTGCTGTGAAGGTAATATGGTTTGCGGCATAGTTCTAGTTTGCAAGTTGTATAAATGTGTAGACAAAAGCATCCACAGCTATACACATTATCCTAACAACAGTTTTCCTTCAGTGTAGATTTTGAAGTCCATGCGTGAAGCTCGTATTCAACCTGATGTTGTTGCATATACAGCCGTTATTAAGGTTCAAGGCCTTGCTCCTTTTGTTTTCGAAAAGAGGTTCAAGGCCTTATTCTTAAACTGTGTTAGGTTGCTATAATGGCTGTCCATAGCATGAATGCTTAACGAAATGCTCCATGTGTTATTTAGGTCAATTTGACTCCATATGTTGATGCATTTATTCCTTTTGGTCCACAGGTTTGCGTGGAAAGTAAAAATCTAAAGTTGGCTTTCTCAGTATATGCAGAAATGAAAAGATATCAAATAAAACCAAATCTGGTAAGATTGATTCAATCTTCTAATTCAAGTTTCTTTATGGTATTCATGAGATAAAGTTGAATTTTTGTATTNTAAAACCAAATCTGGTAAGATTGATTCAATCTTCTAATTCAAGTTTCTTTATGGTATTCATGAGATAAAGTTGAATTTTTGTATTATGTTTTTAGGAATATGATGAATAAAATTGCCTGAGTTCAGTTTGACTGATTGATGTAGATCGTATTAGCTCTGATACTAAATTGATATAGATCGTATTAGCTATAATACCAAATTGATGTAGACTAGGAAAGGAAGGATTAGGGATGAGAAGAGAATAAGAAAATAATGAGAAAAAAGAAAGAATTTTGAGAAAGAAACAATATCAGTACTTAATAATAATCAAAGTGTAATCTAAATAAAACTCTTACATGTATCCCTTTATATAGGAAATTAAAACCCTAAAACAAATAAATAATGACAAAAAAATCCTCAAAAATTAAAAGAAATTACTTAAAAGATAAATACTTAAAGTATTTAAATTACTCGCATGATTAATCTAAAATATTTATTTAATTCCTATACAATTCCCATCATTCTCTCCCGATTGAGAAAAACTCTCCTTCGGAGAATCTTCAAAACAGAAGTACCCTAAAAGAGCAACATAAAGATGACTAAAAGCCTCATCTAGAATGAAAGAATCATCAACATCTTTCCATCGGTCAGGATAAATGTTAGAATCTCCATCTGTAGCAATGTAAATCTGGTCATGTAGCACATCATCTATTTGTCCTGAAATACGCGATAGAAGTGAAAAGATAAGAACTGGAGCTAGTGTTGAGGAAGAAGCAATTTTATCAGTACAAACACCGGCTAACAAAATAGGATGCTCTGGAGTACTTCGATTAATTAGCATGTCTTTCAAATAAAAATTTGGAGTAATACTAACATTCAATGAAAAATTAAGCAAATAAGTATTAGATCCAAACTCAAGAATAGCAAAATAATTTTCATTAGGTTTCAACAAAAAGTATTCAATGGGACAATACATCGATGACCAAGGAGTAACAATAACGCCTTGGTGGTAAAAATAATTAAGTTCTAACTCAAGTGAAATATTGATAGTAAGAATAAAGTCAACTATTTCAGAGGGGAAAAATTTGGGAACATAGTTAGATTGACTTGAAATAGAAGACACAAAACAATCACCAAAAGATTTTGAAATAGGTAACTCAATATGCTCGACATTTTTCATATTGTAGACTCGATAGACTTTTCAGCAAGTTCTATTATCGGTGGTGACTCAACATTTGATTCCAGCAAAGGCTCAAACTCACTTTTTTTAGATATTGACTTTTGTTGGTATGAAGGAGGTGAGCTATGATCTAATGAAATCAGACAAGGGAATTGATAGTCGACATTAGTAACATCTTTTTTTGTATGTGAGAGTGTGTCATCAAAATTCATGGTCACCCTGAAATTAGGAAAACATGCAGAAATAACTTGGACTTTATTCAAGTAATCATGATACTCACATGTGGTGAAATTAAAATTGGAAGGTGTCCTGTTAGCAGGCTGTGATTGAGAACCCATCAAGCTATAGTTGGATTCCTTATGAAATTTCTCAATCGTTAGAGCATATTGATAGGCTGCAACTAACGTATTAAAAGTGTATAACTTGACCTCCCTTCTAATTTTTTTGTCTCAACCCAAGAATAAACTGATCAATTGTCCAAGGTTCTTCAACAATGTCACACAAGTACATGAGATAATCAAATTGGACAAAGTAATCAGAGACACTAGAAGAATGTTGTCTAAGATTGAGTCATTGGATATAAACTTGATCCATGTAGAAAGTAGGCAAATACTTCTCTTTCAATTTATATCTCATTTCAACCCAAATGATAGGTGATTCTCCTAAGGGGTCCATGCCAAAATAAATATTCTTCAAAATTAGCCAATAAATCCAAGAATTGATTGGGATTCGGAGTACCACAAAATGTAGAAGAATCTTTAATTGACTTGGTCATAGGTGTTGAATCCTTGTAGACATACTGCTACGATGATGACCTCAAGGAGGGACTCTTAAACTAGAGTAAATATATGGATTAAAGACATCATAGATACTCATGAGTGACACTTGGAACAAGGGAATGACACCAAAACAAGTTCAAAAATGTAATTAACAAATAATTTCGACCTTTTACAAAGTTTTTAATTTTTCAATGAATAAAAATATCAGTTTCAAANACAAGTTCAAAAATGTAATTGACAAATAATTTCGACCTTTTACAAAGTTTTTAATTTTTCAATGAATAAAAATATCAGTTTCAAATTTGCATAGGAGTATGCATACCATAATTCAAGCTTTGTTTTGAAAAAATTCTGAAACTTTATGGGATGATTATGCAATTTTTGGAACTTCTGGGGATGTTTTTGTAATTTTGAAACTTCTGGATGATACTTCTGTGATTTTTGAAACTTTTAGAGGTGATTCTATAACTTCTAGGACAATTATGTTTCTTTTTTGTTTTTGGGCTGGCTGGTAGTTTTGCCGCTGAACAGTGCCGCGATGAACAATGATTTTTCAATGAATAGTGTTGATGTAATTTTTGTAATTTGTATGAATTGAAATTGGGTTCTGATATCAAATTGATGTAAATCGTATTAACTCTGATACCAAATTGATATAGATCGTATTAGCTCTAATATCAAATTGATGTAAACTAGGAAGGGAAAAATTAGAGATGAGAAGAAAAGAATGAGAAAATAGAAAGAATTTTGAGAAGGAAGCAATATTAGTATTCAATAATAATCAAAATATAATCTAAATAAAACCCTTACATACATCCAACCCTAAAACAAATAAATAATAACAAATAGACCCTCAAAAGTTAAAAGAAATTACATAAAAAATAAATACTAAAAGAATACAAATTACTCTCATAATTAATCTAAAATATCTATCAAATTCCTACACGATCCCATCACTGATATTTGGATGAGGATGTTATGGGGTCACAATGCCATTAAAAAATGTAAATGGACTGAATTGTGTAATTAAATCTGCAGCACAATTGGTCGTTTTCATTGCTTTCAGGAATAGCCAACTGGAATGACAGCAATTTGAATTTGTGATAACAAAATTCCTCCCAGTATCGCAATAAGAGTTAAACAACCGTAACAATGGGAGTCTCTCTCTGTTGCAGACATGGTTCTGTATGTTCTATCAATGTTATCGACCAACATAGGTTAAACATTATGAAACTATATTTTTATTTCAGGTGACATATAACACACTTCTTAGAGCGCGTAGCAGATATGGTTCACTACAAGAAGTACAACAATGCCTGGCGATATATCAGGACATGCGAAGAGCAGGGTATATAATTTATAACCCTTTCCTTAAATGTTCAACACATTCTCTTTTTTTTTCCCGGAAAAGTATATTGAACACATTCTCTGGTATCTAACATTATGGTTTGGTGAATTGTGAGTAGTTGAACTACGTAGAAATTTAATCTTGAATATAGTTGGCACGAGTGGGGTCTCTTCAATCTCCACAGGCATGCTCACTAATCCAGCAAACTCTAAGATTGTCTAAACAAGGGCACCTTGAATCTCATCCTGTGTTCAACTAAGATATCATAACACAGAATTTGTAGATCTCACTTGGTCACTAGTCACCACTTCAAATATGGTGTCTCATGAATATTTGATCATATCCAGTGCATGTTTAGCTTTGTCAGACTTCCTAGTGGTTGAGTTCTCCCTCTCCCCCTCTGGCTCACCAAACTGCAGTGAATTTACAAGAAAATAACACCCACGAAATTGATAAAATACAATCAAAATATTACATCTTAGGACTTAATTGCTGAGAAGTAATCTCTAAACCATATAGTGTGCTTTTTTTTTTTAACAATCGAAGCCATATAATGTATTTAACTTGTTAATTTGTTCTATAGCCTTCAGAATGTGATGTGGACCCAAGTCCTGTAAAAACTATCTTGGCCTAACCGATGTTAATTCACAATATTAACCAAATTCAATGTGGAATCCCCCCATGTACCTTCCATTGCCTAAGTATATGCTATATCAAATATATGTAACCAATTTGCAAGATGCCAATTATTTTGTATTCATGTACAATAATGTGCATATTATGGTGGTGCTTTCTGGTGTCGCACTTTATAGATATCATTTTCAGATATGCTCTGCTCTACCACAAAATCAAGACTTATTTTGCAGGTACAAATCCAATGATTACTATCTCAAGCAACTAATAGAGGAGTGGTGCGAAGGAGTGATACAAAACAAGAATCAAAAACAAGGGAAGTTTGGTTCTTGCAGTAAAACCGACTTAGGAGGACCTCAAAGTCTGCTTCTTGAGAAAGTTGCAGCACACTTGCAAAAGAGTAGTGCTGAAAGCCTAGCTATTGATCTTCAGGGGCTTACAAAGGTACTGTCAATATTAGTAAGTAGAAGTTTAAGTGTTTAACGAAATCAGTTCTATAGGAACTAGACAGTCCTATTTGGTCGGCACACAACATGATAGTTTTAATAATTTCTTACAAACTACAATTTGTTAACATGAATCTAGCACAATTCAAGAGAAGGTAATAAAATAGTCATAGATAATGCACCTCGTGGCACCAAAAAAACAATAGTATATAGCCACGTAGTCGCGTTGCCTTGCATTTCAGATAAATTTTCTTAACTGTCATCAAAATTATTGCTAATGTCATCAAAATATTTGCATAATGCAATGACAGGTTGAAGCTCGGATTGTTGTTTTGGCCGTTCTGCGAAAGATCAAAGAAAACTACTCTCCAGGTGGGAATAATAGTTCTCAAATTGCTTGAATATTGTGGAAATTATCAGTTTTTGAAGTGATGGACCAAAACTCACAGAACTATCCTGCATTCGCATAACGTAGTAAAGAACTTAGTAAGCAATATTATTTAAGCAAAACTGGGTTGAGGAAGAAAGCATTTACTCTCCCAGGGGTAAGCTTAATGTGTCTATAGATACACCCTGAATTCTTGCTCTTTCTGACTAACACATAGAGACTGACACATCAAAATATATTACACTAGCCAAGTCAGCCTTTTGATGATTTTTTAATGGTTGCAGGAGATAAAATAAAAGACGACATGTTGATCATCCTAGGAGTGCAGGAACTAGGTGCAGTTGGTGCCAAGCATGAGTCGGGGGTAAAGGATGCTATTATCAAACTTCTGCAGGACAATTTGGGGCTCAAAGTTCTTTTGAAGGGACATAAAACTGCAACTGAAAGAAAAATACATTTAGAAAACCCGTTTGGTTCATATTCGGACATGGAAGAAATTATAGGAGGAAGTGAGTTGCCTCCCCAAATGGAGTCTCCAACTAGGAGGCCTGCAGCTTTACAAAGACTAAAGGTGACAAAGGAATCCTTATATCATTGGTTACAAAGAAGATGGGGCGCTTGTTGAAGGTGATTACTAATGTTAGAGTAGTTAGCATATTTAATCTTAGGGTAATTTAGTCATTTGATTTGTTTTATCTTACCCTACTATATAAGGGCCTCTAGTATATATTTTTCCATTAAGTTGTAATACAGATTAATTGTTATCTTAATAATATTTTCTCCTCCTTTTTCTCCCTTCTTTCTTATGGTATCAGAGCGAACAAGATGAAATAATGCAAGAGAACTGTTAAAACTCTTATTAAAAGGTAATGCAGTAAATTTAGCTAACTTATATTAATTGCAATTCATAAATGTCATGACACTCTAGACTTCCTAGACTATTGGGCTAAAATTCAAACGAGAATGAGATACATAACCAAGGCGAAAATGTCACAAATAAAAATTAGATGATTGTGGATTCAAACAAAACAAAGACAAATTAACTGTAGAAATAACAACTTTTGGAACATGGAGCTCCTCCACACATATAGCCCGCCCTTTCTATGGTCTTAGATTGTGGATCCCGCACAATACAACTAGAAGAAAAAAAAATGAACGAAAACCCAGAGTCAAATAGTTGACTAATTGAGATTAAATTCTGTTGGAAATATAATAGCAGCCTAGTTTATTAGGGCTTATTAAGTTTTCATTTTTTACCTTTTTATCCTTATTGTAACTTTCATTGACTATATATACGGGGCTCTACACTTAGTTTGTATCTCTTTTTCACACATATTCATTCCAAGTTGGTATCAAAGCCACAACTGTAGCCCTAACCCTAGCTCTAATCCTAGCCCCTCCTCCACGTTGCAGCCACCACACTGCCACCGTGACTGCTCCAGATTAGCAACTATAGCGACCCACCTACCAGCGAAAATCCCCTTTAGCCTACATATTAAACCACCGACTGCCTCCATATTAAACCACCACATCATCATTCTCACCAACTGCCTCCATATCACCAACCACCGACTGACTGCTTCAATAACCACACCGACAAACCAGCCAATATAGCCCAATAAACATATTGATAAACACGACATACTGCCCAATAACCACACCGACAAACACATATACCACACCAACTGCACCAACCAACGACTGACTGCCTCAATAACCACACCGACAGACCAGCCAATATAGCCCACACATCAAACCAGTCCACTGATAAACCCATACCAACCCAATATAGTCCTAAACCAGACCAGCCCAGTAACGCAACCCACTACCCAATAAACACGACGCCCATCCACCTAGCCTACTGGTGGGTCGTTGCCCAGCCCGTTATCGAGCTGTGTTTCTCGTTTTAACTTCATCCTTTGCACTCTTCGTTACAGTGCCACCAGATTGCAGTATCTAGGATCCCTTTCTTTTATGAGGGGTTAAATTCTCTTCTCCGTCCGTTGATCTGCTCTTGATGCAGTAGATCATTTATATTTATTGGATTTTTGGGCACCGTGACCTGATTATTTGGGAGTTTTCTGGACCTTCTTTATTTGTCGCTACTATTCGACTGGAGGTATATTGTTCTCCCTTATTTTATCTCTCTATTTATCTTAGAGTTATTTTTCTGTCATGGGTGCCCTAGTATTATTGTGGATATGGCTACTGCTGAGGGACTTGAGTCCTCTACTATTGACACCTCTACCATTGAGGCATTTGTTGGTACTTTCACTTTTATGTTTGACTAGTATACAATACCTACTGGCACAGTTGCATTACCAGCATTACCGGACATGATCTCTCAGAAAGTTACGACACAATTGTTGAATGGCCATAACTTCGCTGAGTGGTTTCGCTCATTCCAGCTTTTCCTAGGCCGTGTAGGGAAGCTTGGTTGGCTGACGGAATCTCACTTAATGTCAACTGATGCCGACCCTAAATATTCTGCGTGGTTCTCTGAGAACTGTGTCATTCTTGAATGGTTATTTGGCTCGATGGCGCCATCTGTTTGCAGGATTCATCAGTTTCATAGTTCTATTCCGAAGCTACGGAGCGCATTATCAAAGATGTATTTTCAGTCAAGACGGGGAGTTCGTGTTTATGAGCTTTCTCAGGAGCTCTCATATGCTGGACAGGGAGATTTGACCTTTCAGGATTATTATGACTATTTGACCCAGCGGTGGCTTGAGTATGAGACTCTACGTCCTCTTGCTGCCATTCCGAGGATAGAGCCCGAGGGAGCAACATTCTTGCATACTCGAGAACAGGAGGATAGGATTCATAAGTTTCTTATAAGGTTTCATGATGAGTTTGAGGGACCTCGTTCACAGATCTTGTCGATGGTGAGGCTTCCGTCTCTTTATGAGGTGTATGCGATGATTGAGCAGTATGAACGCCGCGTCCATATTGCATCCCTTCCAGTTGCGGCCTTGACTCCTCCGGGCGACCAGATGGCCCTTGCAGCTACTGTTGGGTCTCGTTCAGGATCCTTAGCCAAAGGTGGACAACGCTTGGGCCAGCACCGTCAGGGCGCTCCAGATCAACGCAGACTGGGAGATTCTCGTCAGTGTGATTATTGTGGCCGACCAGGACATCTCAAGGTTGCTTGTTGGAAGCTCCATCCGGAGCTTAAGCCGCCTCCTAGGGGTCATATTGCTGCTATTGCTGAGATACCACCACTTACTACCGCTGCTCCTACTGTTGCTCCTACTGTTCCTCATTGGCAGAGTGATATGGATGTTATCACTTCCCAATTGGATAGACTTATGTCCGTTCTGACTTCTCGGAGTCCGACTACTACTGCAACCACCACTACAGGTATACCTCACCTTTCATGCTTATGCCAGTTCATCTCCCCTTTGGATGCTGGACTTGGGGGCAAATGGTCACATGACAAGTGAGACCCACCACTTCACCACTTTTGACGAGCAGTTACATACACAGGTTCAGTTAGCAAATGGGACACATACCCCTATTGTTAGTAAGGGTACAGTCCGCCTCCCAAATGGCTTTACATTACGTTTGATTTTTCATGCGCCAAAATTGGCCATGAATCTATTATCCGTACATCAGTTAGCTACAGATTTTCACTGTGCAGTTGTGTTCTTATCTGATTCGTGTTATTTGTAAGACCTGAGTACCAGAAGGATTATTATCAGGGGACATGAGAGAGATGAATTGTATTATCTAGGCGATCCGCCTCCAGTTTCACCAGTTCCTCCACCTACATCACCTACACCTACTTTGTCTTTATCTGTTCCTAGCTTGCATGCTAGTATTTTACCTAGTAATTGTCATTATGATTTTTCGTCACAAACTGTTCAGTTGTGGCATGACCATTTTTGACATACAAATTTTAAATATTTATGTATGTTATTTCCTACTTTGAGCAATGCTTGTGTTGGTGGTAAACTTGACTGTGTTATATGTTCCTTATCAAAACATGTTAGGACCAGTTATATTCCTCGCATGCACCAGTCACCCAAGCCATTTGACCTAATACACTCTGATATATGGGGACCCTCTCCTGTTACTACTCAGTCAGGTGCCCGATACTATGTGACATTTATAGATGATCATACCCGTTATACTTGGGTCTACTTTTTGTATAAGAAGTCCGATGTACTCCCTATAATCACTCAATTTCTACAGATGATTAAGACACAATTCGATGTTATTGTTCGTGCTCTTCGTTCGGATAATGTTAAGGAATATGTGTCTAATGCCTTAGTGTCTCACTTTTCTTCTCAGGGTATTCTTCAGTAACTCACTTGTCCATATACTCCTGAGCAAAATGACGTTGCTGAAAGAAAAAATAGGAGTCTGATAGGGATGGTACATTGTATGCTTAGAGGCATGGGGGTGCCAAAATCTTATTGGCATTTTGTTGTTTGACTTCTACCTTTTTGTGTAATCATACGCCGAGTCGTGTTCTTCAGCATAGAGCTCCCTTACAAGTTTTATTTCTTGAACGAACACTTTTTTCGGTCCCTTCTCGTGTTTTTGGATGCACATTTTTTGTTCAGGATCGGTCTCTTACTCGTCATAAGCTTGATGATAAAGCAATTCGTTGTGTCTTTGTGGGCTATTGCAATCAATTTAAAGGGTATCGGTGTTATGATCCTGTTGGGCGTCATATGTATCACAGTCTAGATATTACATTTCTTGAGCATATTCCTTATTTTTCTTCCAGTCCTATGTCTATCCCTCTAGTTGATGATACTTCATTTGAATTTTTCATTACCCCCGGAGTCAGAGATATTGGTCACTATCACTACAGAGTCATCGGTCTCTCCTCCTCTAGAGCCACTCATCCCTGGTATCAGAGCACTGGCACTTGACACATATGAGATTATCTGGCTACAATCGATTTTTGGCAAGTTGGGATTTTCAGTGACTTCTTCATCTACATTATATTGTGATAATCAATCTGCTATTCAGCTTGCTTCTGACTCTGTATTACACAAGAGAACGAAGAATATAGAGATCGATGTTCACTTTCTTCGGAAGAAGGTTAGTAGTGGTATTGTCACTCCATCGTTTGCGAGGACCAGTGATCAGGTTGCAAATATTTTTACCAAATTTGTCACTCTATCCATTTTTCGGGACTCTGTTGTCAAGTTTGGCTTAGTTGACATTTTTGCGCCTAGCTTGAGGGGGAGTGTTGGAGATATAACAGTCTAGTTTATTAGGACTTATTAAGTTTTCTCTTTTTACCTTTTTATCCTTATTGTAACTTTCATTGGCTATATATACGGGGATTTATACTTAGTTTGTATCCCTTTTTCACACACATTCATTCCAAGTAATTCAAAGTGAGCTGAGGAATATAATAAATATTTGAAAGTGTGAGAGGGGGAGAAATAATTGTCCCAATACCAGCCAAAGACATTTAAGTGTCGTTAGCTGTAAGCATAGATTAGATGTAATTAAGGAAAAATCATTGATCATGTGATGTATGGCACTTGAGTAAAAGACCCAAGCGGTGCGAGATATACCTAAAAGACCTAAGATAAACGAACCTACTGAAGGAGATACCAAAAGAGCACCAGGCTGGTAGAGAGAGTAACTTCTAAACTTGATCAGCAATCATAGATAGTCTAGTTACAATGGTTCCTTACTAATCTTGGCATTTCCTATCTCCTCCTACCCTTATGTAGATAACACCAAAGTCATTCAGATTTTTCACAACTCGGTGTTCCATGAGTATA